GTATTTGTGTGGTTGATGCTTTTTCTTGCCTTGGATGAGTACAATGTCATTTTTTAAGGAATGAGATTCACTGTGTGAACTAAGCTGCTCTATTTATAGACATGTTTCCATTCAAAATTCAAACAAAACAACCAAAAGAACAAGTACTCAATAAGTATGCAGGAGATAGTGTGGTAAGTCTCATATGACTTTTCTTCAAATTTACTTTCACTTTTGTAATGTGGACGAATTATCACCGGAATCTTCTCTTTTTGTTGCAGGTCAGTCAAGTGTCATCTATTCTGCCAGTACTCTCCAGTTGAATACTAAGTTGGCAGTGTGGTCAGAAAATTACTCACACAATAATTATCACCTATTTTTTCAAAATAAACGTGATTCAAATATATAATAACTAATGCATGATTATCTTAATTTTTTGTATAAATATTATACTTAACAAGCTTTAAAAAGTAAATGATTCGAGTTACTGAGGTCAGCCCCAAGATGAGTCTACCAAATCTAAACTCTCTCTCTCAAGTCGAATAGCAACTTGAGAAAATCCAATCCTAAAGACTAAATTTATAATTAGATTCATTTTCTTGCAGTGGGAATTGCACTCAGAACTAGAATGAATCTCCACACTTGGATGGTGGGTACAAGGGCTGGAGGAATGGGAGAGTAGGGGCGGAGGTGGTCTGGCGATGGTGTGGGAGGGTGTGGGGTTCTATAGCGAGGGACAGTGGGTGAAAGAGAGCAATGAGGGAAAAAAAAAAAAAAAATTCTTGATTTTGTAATTATTCTTGTAGTCAATTTTGTTGAAAATAAATAAAATAAAATCATGTGAAATCAGATAAAATCATTCAATTTTTATTTTTATTTTTATTTTATGAATGAGGAACACACAAGATAAATGACGGGCTTATTTGGGAAGATTGGATTTGAGTTAAAAAGTCAAAAAAAATTTAAAAAGTCAAAAATTTATTTCATTCTACCTATTTTTTGCACTTTTTAAAATTCTTTTCATCTCATATTTTAATAAAAAAAATAAAATCTCAAACCAACACTCAAACATCGGAGTGTAACCCCATGATAGGCTCCATAGTCCGAATAGAAGAGAAACCAAATATCTCTCCAACTGGAGAGGGGTCTGAGAATCCTCTGTTTCAAATTTTTTTTATACCTTTGTTTCAAATGACTCACAGTATTTTAATTATACATCAAGATTTACATACTTTGAGACTCTTACGTGATATGGCGAGGATTAATTCATGTGTTTTAAGCCTCAAACACAAATCTGAAAAGATGAAGAATTGCGGCAAAAGGGGTGTTTGTTTCAGTTTTTCAGAGCTAACTTATGACTTTTAACTTTGAAAAAGTTATTTTAGACTGTTTGATTAAACTTATTTCAAACAACTTCTCATTCTAGCAGCTTATTTTAACTCAAAAAAGCTGATTCTGAGAAGTTGCTCACCCCTTGCTTCTGATTATCAGCTTCTGCTGTGGACATGTTAATTTATAGTTATACTTTTAAATTTTTTTATTTTTTATTTTTTAAAAATAGAAAAAGATTCAAATGGACTATAAATTATTATTATTATTTTTTATGAGAAATGTAGACAAACAAAAAATAAAAATTAATTAAAAAAGCTATTTCACAACTTATTTAACAAACACTACTCAGCAACTTAAATCTATAATCCAACAGTTACACCAAACAGATTAACAACTTCTGATTAAAGTCATAATCTATAATCTGTTAAGTTATAATCTATAAACTGTTTTAATAATTATACCAAACAGGGCCAAAGCTCATCTGAGTTAATCTTGAGGGCGTTACCAAAACTGGGCCTTATCTTCAAAGCCAGTCTCTGTTCACAACCCTTACACTTGTACCATTCCCAAGTTCACTACCCATTACACCCTAATAGCCAACGGAAGGTTTGGATTCATTACCCTCATCATCAAAGTATTTTATGTAACATATATGTCACGTGATCAAAATAACGTGGTGTAACTTTTTATTCATTAATTGAGAAACATGAGGAGTATTATAAATAGTGATTGATAAGGAAATATAATCATGTGGTTACTCCGAGACTATTGCATGATTTTTCATGTTGTTGTTGTGCCGTCCTATGAGGGTTTGTTTCAAGCTTATTTCAATTATTCTAACTATTCATATTGTAGGATTTATCAAGTAAATCATCTACGAAAAAAATTAGATTAATTGAATATTTGTAACTCTATAACAAGAATTCATTTGTTTTTATAAAATAAATGATTAACATGGTTTTAATATATTTTTTAAAAAAACAATTAAGACTTCATCATGGGCTATAAATGTTCAATTAATTTAAATTTTGCATGAATGATATAGTTGATAAATTTTACAATATGAATAATTTGAATAATTAAGAATAAACTCGGGACAAACTCCCATAAGCCCTAGCAGGGTTGTTGTACCCTTACAACCACCCTCTGTCTTTAATTAATATGTGGCAAAAAGTGAGACTTGAGGAGTTACTTTGTGCTCAGCATGAAGTATTGAGTGTTCAGTCACATCAAATTTCAGTTGCCACATGTTAATTAATGAGTAAAAAGATACATTACATCATCTTGGTCACGTGAAATATCTGTTACATAAAATACTTTCATTCTTTTCTCATAACAACTTATTATGCAGATAGGCAATTCCAATATTTTTGTTTTGTTTTGTTTTTTTTTTTTTTTTGTGTGCAAAAATTACATGTCATACCCTGAATTTTCTCATAATTTTATTTATTTATTTGTTCATAAATTAGCACAACACAATTTGTGAGAAAATTAACATAGTTAATCTGTCATTGAATGAATTGCGATTTTTTTTTTTGAGCAATTTCACTTTAGTGATTTGATTTTGTGTTTACTTCTACTAGCAGACCAGCGAGATCGCAACTGGAAAAATACCCCCAAAGCTGCTGAAATCTAACACAAGGACCGTGGTTGAGGTGTCAATTGCGGTACATGAAATTGGAAGCTTAAAAATGCACTGGCAAGTACATGAATTATTTTTCTCAAAGTCTCTCGTTGTAAAGCACTTTGTTTTGTGCTTATAAATTTAAATCGAATATTTTGTTTTTTCCTACTATGGTTAGATTCAATTTCAATAGTGTTCTATACATTTCAAAATGTGTTATGTTAATTTTTTCATTTTTTGGGGTTGAAGATTACTTTCCAATGAATTTAAAACATCAAAATGGTGATGAAAAGTATAGATGAAAAAAGAGAAGATAAATTACAAATACATCTTATCAGATTTACTTAAAATATGAAATGCCTCCACATGGTTTGAAAAATCATAAATACTTTATTGTCGAAATTTTTTATTTAACAGAATTAACCCCAAAAAAATGAAATATCTAACTACTCTCCTATACAACAATAAAATTACCTGAATTGTTAATTGAAGTATAATTCTAACATTATTAAAACTATTAATTAACTTGACAATTTATTAATAAAATATGTCATTTGTTATGCGATTATAAAGTTGAAGGGACACGATGTAATTTCCAAAACTATATAGGATAATTTATATTTTAAGCAAATCTCAAAGAATAAATTTGTAATTTATTAAAAAAAAAATAGAAAGAGAATCTAAAAGAGCATAAACACAACATTGACATTTTAATTTGGAGGGAAATTCATTTTAATTTTTCTTGGCTGATATTGAAAACTGTTTACATAATGTCAATTTCTGGGTAACGAATTGTTTAACAATGGCTTAAATAATAATTATTTTTTTACTATTTCATGTTAAAAAATCACAATGGTCAATAGCTGATTGCTTTTGTTGATAAAAGAAGAAGAAAAAAGCATTTCATGCCAAAAAAAAAAGAAAAAACGATTTTATTTAACATGTGTTAAATGCAACAGCTTTTTCAATAACTACTTTTTTGAAACAAGTAAAAAAAATTATTAAAAAGAAATTGAGAAAATTATACCCGTGGTACATATAATTTGTTTCTTATATCAATTTAATTAATATAATTTCAATTGTATTAAATTTGCCTTTTATTTTTTTACATTGTGTCAATTTAATTTAAGAATAATTCAATACATACTAACAATCACTAAAAATACCGGAGGCCTAATGTGATTGATTGCCAAAAAAGTGATAATATTTAAACACCCAGTGATGTTTAGACATGCATGCTTTTAGTAAGATTGTTAATAAGAGTTTAAGTAGATGCAACATTGTTCTTAATCTAATTAATAATATCTGTTAACGATTTAGATAAAAATCAAGGACATAGTAGTCATTTAAATGGAATGGACCATTTAAATTGAAAGACGCTTGTTAAGTAAAATACCTAGTTATTTTAATTATTTTACAGCTCTAATAGACTCTTTAAATGCTAATTTTATTCAGCTAGATCTTTTTTTTGCACATTACGTTTAGAGAGTCATTGAAGATTCTTCAAACTTCAAGAAACACTTCATCTTCTTTCCTTTCAATCTCTAACGCAGGCGTAGATGTAGTATGCTGTAAAACCCTATCAATCATAAATTAATTTGGATAAAAAGCTAGATAAAGAGTAGTGTTAGTACTTAGATAAAGTGATTAGTTAAAATAAATATTGTAATTTTTTTATTTCTTTTAGTTAGTAAAAAATTATTAGTAAGATTAATATTACTCGAAGAGCACTCATGTTACTTTTTATTTCAATTTGAAACTATCCTCATTCACGCGTGCTCTAACAATGTGGTCTCACATTTTAACTTTGTTTATTCGACAATGAAATATTCACTTTGTTTATTCGACAATGAAATATTCTGCTTCGATTTGTAAGAATATTTTCATGATTGATGCTTTTTCATGACCAAGTATTGTTTTGAATGGGTATGTCTTGTTGACTGAATAAGATTCTAAAGTCGCGTTTGGATAATAGATTTGGATAAAGATAGAATTTCAAATCTCTACTTAAATTTATGATCCAAACACAGTCTAAGTATTTGTGTGGTTGATGCTTTTTCTTGCTTTGGATGAGTACAATGTCATTTTTTAAGGAATGAGATTCACTGTGTGTACTGTGTGAACTAAGCTGCTCTATTTATAGACATGCTTCCATTCAAAATTCAAACAAAACAACCAAAAGAACAAGTACTCAATAAGTATGCAGGATATAGTGTGGTAAGTCTCATATGACTTTTCTTCAAATTTACTTTCGCTTTTGTAGTAACAGGAATGCAAATTTGGAAATGATAATGAATGGTTGTATGAAGCATTCTACTTCACTCTAGTCTGGGTAAAGACAGAAGAGTTTAGTCCAAGCTCTCAAATTGTGTCACACTTTAGCATTTTTGGCACAATTGAGAGTTCGTACTGGACTAAACTCTCCAATTTTTATCCAAATTAAACAAAAAAAGTCATTTATCTTTTTCGAATGCAATATTATGTGAATTCATAAGGATTTATTTGTGAATTCCAAATTTTTCGTGAAATTATTTGTTGAAAATAATTTCATGATCGAAGCCTCCCATTATTTAGAAAATTGTCTAAAATTAAATTTATGGTTTTTATTTTCATGAATTTTTATTTATATTTATTTATAAAGTCAAAAATCATAAAAAAATTTGTTTGGTGCCTATTTTCATATAAAAATTATAAACAATTTATAAAATTTATTAAATTTTGTAACCAAAAAAAATGATTTTACTAGTTTGGAAAATAAGTTTTTATTTATTTCTCCGTCTCCCACCTCGTCCAACTATCACCCATCCAGCCACCCCTACCTACAACCACCTTCACCGGCAACTAACACTGACCACCAGTTATTATGACTAGCAACTACCTCCAACCACCACCATCCACCTCCTGCTGGTGGCAATTAATTCTTGCCAAAAATCACCTTCGGCCACTACCTTTGGCGGCTAATAACCACCAACTTTTAACTGCTGACCACCATCTTTTGTTATCAACAAACACCTATGACTACTGCCGCTTGCCAACAATCACATCAGGCCATTTGTCTAATTTATTTTCAAAATATCAAAATGTGTAGCTAGTATGATTTTATTTTCGATTTTACTAAGCATAAGCTATAGTTGACTTGGCCATCTAAATTATTGGCCCTTTTCCTTCCACAATGTGTGTTCAAGCAGCAATGCAATGGCAAAGGTACAGTACAAGGTGGCAAATGCATTGGACAAATTGAAATATGAGATAACTGATGTTGATCTTGAAGGCATTACTCGCGAGGGCTTCATCTTCAAGGCCAAACTCTTGGTTGAAAACCCCTTCACTCGGGACATTCCCACTAGCACCATATCTTACACCTTCAAAATCAATGAAAGGTTTCTATATACATATATACATATATATATCTCACTAATTATTTATTTATTGAGAAAATTACGAAAAAAATGGGATTTGGGGTAAATAAGTTACAGATATGGGGAGAATCAATTTTTATTACGATAGAGATAAAAAAAAAGAAAAAAAATTTAGAAAGGGAAGGAATCCATCCTTGAATTTAGCAAAATACTACTCACACCATCCCCCACCACTCCCAACACCTCAATTGCCCACTTGCAACCCCTTCCCTACCCATTCGCACACCACCACAACACCCTCAACCCCTCTTTCACTACACTCCAACCTCTTGCGATCTCTTTTCAAAACCCTAGATCCTCAATCCCCTATACCACTAAACAATTTCCCCATCTCTCTCGGTTGTGACCCCTCTCTCAAACCTTTTGGAATTATAAAAAAAATAATTAGTATTTAAAAAAATAAAATATACGTATAGATTTAAATTTCTTATTGATTTCTTTCCTAATTTGATGTGTTTACTCCTAACAAGGGTGATTGCAACTGGTACCATACCCCCAAAGTCATTGAAAGCAAATGTGAAGACTAAAATGGAAGTGCCAATAGAGATTGCTTACAAAAACATACCAAACTTGGGGAAAGAATTATATATCATATTGGCTGAGACTTATGTCATAAAGTGTGAATTAGACTTGGTTCTCACCTTCATTGGAGAACAGTGCATTCTACTCACAATCAAGGGTGAAAAGAAGGTTCCTTCAAAGTCACAATTGGGCAAAATGTTAATAAATAGTTGGAAGGAGAAAATTAAAGATGTTAAAATGGTCTCTTACGCTAAGAGATTGGTCTAGTGGATGATGAGACATTTTCTTTTAAGTTGTGATGTTACTGTTGCACTATGTAGTTTTTCATTTCCCTATTTTCTAAATGAAAAAAAAATATATGCATGCACTATTTTTATCTAAATGTAATTGTCTCTCAAGATGTCTATATGTTTGAGTTTTATTGTTGCGCTATTATACTATTTCATTCTCCTATTTTTCTCTTATTGAATGGAAAAAATTAAGCTAATAAATGAAATTTTTTCTCATGATATCTAAGGGTTGAGTTTTATTGTTTTTCCATATAGTATTTCATTTCTCTGTTTTCCTTCTACTAAATGTAAACAAAATATACATACACTTATTTTTGGCTAATAAATGAAATTTTCTCTCATGATTCATTTCAAGCTTCACTTATATATAGATCCACTCTAGGTAGGTTGGCTTCTAGAGACTATTAATTAAAAACTGTATCCCTAAACCAGTTTTACTTGCAATTACAAGATTATTTTTAAATTTTAGGAGTGTGTGAACAAAACACAAATTTTTAAAAAAAGTTCAAGTGAACTGTGTTTAAAAAATGAAAGTTAAAAAAATCCTTTTTTTTTTTTGTCGGCAAAAGAAAAGAACTTTATTAATGAGAACAACATACAATGCATATGATATTACATCAATAAAGAAAATGCAAGTGCAAAACGCATATTATTATCATTTAATTAGTCTCAAACTAGGAGTTCAAAAAAAAAAAAAAAAAACTTATTATCATTTGAAATTATAAATTTTTATTATTTTAAATCAATTAAAACTTGTTGAGCGAGCAACCTAGTAACAATGCATTGGTTCATAGAGTCTTCAATGCAAAGGTTTGTAATTGGACCAATCAAAAGCTTCCATTTACGTCAAACATGAAGGCGCTATTATACTATTTCATTCTCCTATTTTTCTCTTATTGAATGGAAAAAATTTAGCTAATAAATAAAATTTTCTCTCATAATATCTGAGGTGGAGTTTTATTGTTGCGCCATATGATATGTCATTTCTCTGTTTTCCTCCTATTGAATGAAAAAAAATATATACATACACTTATTTTTAGCTAATAAACGAAATTTTCTCTCATGATTCATTTCAAGCTTCACTTACATATAGATTCACTTTAGGTAGAAGTGTTCGCGGTTGGGTTGTGGCCTCGGAACCTTCAATCTGCCATCCGTCCGAAACTAGGCGGATTGGAGAAAATTAATCCGCAGCCATCCGCCGGATTGGCGAATGCTGATTGACAGATTGGCAGATTGACGGATGAATACGAATCGGTTTGGCGATTTTTATTTTTATAAATTTTCAATATAATAAAACCTGTCAACATAAAATTTATTTATTTATTTTTTTGGGATAACAATCCAATTTGCCCTCTACAAGCTTAGATACCATTCCATGGGAGCTAGAAAAAAAAAATATCAGCTTATAAGGGCTAACCCAAACAAGGCCTAAAATAGGTCCAGCCCAAACAAATATCATATCCCCCATCTATATAAAGAGAGGACACCCCAAAGAAGGTGAGAGGTTATCTCTCTCTACATTACACACCAACACTCTTTATTTTCTATACCTTCATTCTTTCAATCAAGTGACTAATTTCACCATTGGAGTGTCTCCGGTCGGCAATCCCGATTGGATGGCACTGATCATGATCATCTTTGCAAATCTACAGGAACAAAGTTTATTTCTTCGTTGGATCTCTACAATCCATGTGAGAGGATCTTCTTAGTTTCACAATTGGCGCCGTCTATGAGAATCGTTTGAGAGAGTTCAACGAAGTAAATAGCAAACATGTTATTGTAAGTAAAAAATCAACAACGCTTTGATGGTGATCTACCTTCTCACTAAACTGATTTTTAAAATTATTTTTAAATGTGCTCTTGAATTGTATATACTTATGCGTCCGAAAACAAACTCTATCAAAACATTTGTTTATAGTGAATGTTGTTGGAAAAGTTTTAAAACAACACAGAATTTATAGATCTACTTTAGTGTCTTGATTTTCTCTCTCTAAAACTGGGTTTTACATTCTTCTTCATGAAAATAGCTTTTCGGCAATAGAACAAAGGTTGTTCGGCTAAATCCACCCTTGGATCTTTATTTATTTATTGTCTTACAAAACTTATTTTAGAGTTGTTTCTTGGCATGTATATACATATGTCCTCATAAATTGTGTGAAAATCATTGTTGATTGTCAATATTGATTAAAAAGTAAAAGGTTGAAAAGCAAGACAGACCACAGATCTACAATTAGGTTTATACTCTCTCTCTAGAATTCGACAACCATGTTTTGAAGCTTCAACGACAATGTCTTCTTTCTAGGAAGCTATCCGGTAAGAAAAATGGAGCACTAAGGCTATTCGACTCCTTCACTAGAAAATCATTCTTATATTCGACAACTTCACTCTGCAAGCTTTGACATCTTGTATTCGGCACATTTTTAGTCACGAGGTAAAGGATGTCCGAACCCGGCCCTATGGGTTTAGCACCGTAACCGGCCAGTAATCCGAGATTACCAAAGGCCTGTAGAACAGTAATACAGTAAGATAGAGTACATGGCCTGGCGGAAGCCAATACAGTAAATAAATAGTGTCCAATCTACCTTCTCACTAAACTGATTTTTAAAATTATTTTTAAATGTGCTCTTGAATTGTATATACTTATGCGTCCGAAAACAAACTCTATCAAAACATTTGTTTATAGTGAATGTTGTTGGAAAAGTTTTAAAACAACACAGAATTTATAGATCTACTTTAGTGTCTTGATTTTCTCTCTCTAAAACTGGGTTTTACATTCTTCTTCATGAAAATAGCTTTTCGGCAATAGAACAAAGGTTGTTCGGCTAAATCCACCCTTGGATCTTTATTTATTTATTGTCTTACAAAACTTATTTTAGAGTTGTTTCTTGGCATGTATATACATATGTCCTCATAAATTGTGTGAAAATCATTGTTGATTGTCAATATTGATTAAAAAGTAAAAGGTTGAAAAGCAAGACAGACTACAGATCTACAATTAGGTTTATACTCTCTCTCTAGAATTCGACAACCATGTTTTGAAGCTTCAACGACAATGTCTTCTTTCTAGGAAGCTATCCGGTAAGAAAAATGGAGCACTAAGGCTATTCCACTCCTTCACTAGAAAATCATTCTTATATTCGACAACTTCACTCTGCAAAGTAACCCAGTCACACCCTTGTCACTAGGGCCATCGGCAATTATAATCCTCAAGAATGGAGCCGAACTACATCATCGAGCTCACCAAGCCCATGCACGGTCATTTAACTGCTGCAAATAGCTGACCGACTAAATTGTCAAACTCTCAGCAAAGTCGAATTCATCTTGCCGAATTGTCGAGTTGCCAACCAAACTTGTAATAGCAAATAGCCGAATTCCTTTTGCCGAGTTGCCAAGAATCAATGCTTGCAATGTCTCGTTTTGGTAAACCAAGGAAATTGCCGAGTTAGTGACCAAGTGTTTCGGCAATCCAAACAACCGAGTTGCCAATTATTCACTACCGAGTGTGAATTCAACACCCGTTTTGAGCCTCGCTAAGCACACTTCTCCGCTGAGCACATTCTACCAAGAGCACTTTTTGTCGAAAACCTTCCTTCAGCCGACCACACTTTAACCAAGGCCAAGAGCCGAATGACACCCACAAGGTGATGGAATGATCTTATTTTTGGTCAACTTTTGGAGGTCCGACGGCATCCAAACAAAGGCGAAATGAGGCGTCTGAATAATGGAATGAACACTAGGCCGAGGGATAAATCTAATACTGCAAAAATGAGGCAAATTGAATTTAAAACGAGGGAGATACAAAGGCTCAACTTTAGGAGTTTGAAACTAAAAAAAACAAACTACTTTTCACTATATGTTGCATGAAGAAGATGGCATAAGGATTTATTGTGTGCTTTTTTGGCGCAAGGTGTTTCGTTGCATCTTAGGGCGTTCAGATTAATCGGTGGTCCGATAACTTCAGGGATGACTATCCTCTAGTTTTTCGCCATATAGAATTCATTTTTCGCATCCAATTTTGCAAATTTTGAGTCTTTTATTGAGATCAGTAAATCGGCCAATCGGGAACTTTAAATGATAAATCAACGATCAAATCGTGTCTAATCAGCATACAATTTTGACAGCAGGCTCATGAAGCTAGGCCATAATCATCCATCTTCATTGATCATTCATCACCTTGGCCATCTACCGTCACCTGGGATAGGACCCACAACTTGAATTTCTTTTAGTTTTGGCTTTACACCATTTATCTTCTTAAACAAAAACAAAACCGCCTAGATGAGTTTTAGAAGCATCAGTTGCTGACCAAATTGCATTTCAATAAGCAAAAACCTATTAAAAAAATAACAAAAAAGAATATAAGGAAAAATAAAAATAAATAAACAAAACAAAATACAACAGCCTTGAGGAAACCAATAACCTAAGTTCCATTTACGTTCCATCTTCCTCGACACACCCATGCATGGAAGCATCAAATTTGCCTCTACTATATCATCAAATTTCTCCATTCCCTACATCAAATCGGCTCAGCATCATTATTTGGCAAAAGATTATATCGCAACATTGCTTAACTCTGCAATTCGGCATATCATTCGGCATATTATCAACTGCATATTAACATTACTCTGCATATTATCAACTCGGCTTTGGCAACATTATTCGGCTCAACATTGTTTTCTCGACAAGACTACTCAGCCACACACGGCCACATGCTCCACAGCATTGAACATTCTCAACACAAAACTACAATTATTAATTTATCTACCTCTTCGGCAAAAATCTCATGCTTATTATCTCAGCATAGAACTAGCATCTCCCCTTGCTGAAATCAACATCTGAATATACGAGAGGATTTGCGTCAACTTAAAGAGTCCAAACCCATCAATCCAAGGAGTGAAGAAGTAACCGAAGTTCGCATCATTCAACAATTTTGGCTCCAGTCTATTCTAACTTCCTTCTGCATAACAACTTTTATTCAACAACAATGGGGCAAAGAATTCACATCAACAATTTGTTCTCAACTTACTCATTGGCAATGTTGGCCAATGTCCAATTTGAATTCCTTCCACCTAACAACTGTTAGTCGAAAGCAATGGGGCAACTGTATAGGACAACA